GGATCCAGTATGAGGAAATGGGTGGGAAGAGGACTGGCCACCTCCATTGTTCTTTCTTGTTCCCTGATTCAAGCAGGCATCTGCACGGTATGGCTTTTCACATTCCCGCCATTTCCTGATATTGACACGCATTCAGAAATTGAGGAAATCATCCTGCAGTGCAATGAAGGCTCAGCTACTATGTTCTACTGTGTTCTGGGCTACATGGGTCTTCTGGCGGTTGCCAGTTTCACAGTAGCTTTTTTCTCCAGGAAGCTCCCCAGCAGTTTCAGTGAGGCCAAATGTCTCACATTCAGCATGCTGATCTTCTGCAGTGTGTGGCTCTCCTTTGTTCCATCCTATCTAAGCACCAAAGGCAAATACATGGTGGCTGTGGAGGTTTTCTCCATTTTGGCCTCTAGTGCTGGGTTGCTGGGTTGCATATATTTCCCCAAATGTTACGTAATCCTTGTTAGGCCAGAGCTAAACAACAGGGAACAACTAATAAAGAAAAAATATTAATAATACTCTCTTTCTCTCTCTCTCTCTCTCTCTCTCTCACACACACACACACACACAGAGTTTCCAAAATTTCTCACTTTTAGTATCCTTTCTTTAAATTTTCCATTTTTAATCATTCATATTTTATCTTTAGTGAGGTACTTACTGAATAGAAAATTCTTGGAAACTTTCTACCTTAGAATACATGTACTAGGAGTCTTCGAGCTATTCAGAGTTTTGTTTGAAGAGAGTGCTATTCTATTGATTTTGCAAGTTGAGTTTTGAAAGCAATCCAATTTGATTTATAAAATGGTTCTAGATTTGAAATTCAATTCAAACAACCACAAGATTCAAGAATAACTATGACAAGCCATTAAAAAGGAAGATTTTTTTTTAACCTCTCTTTTCTATTAGGAGACATAGGTAAAATTTAAATGCTGATGAGTTCCTGAGCAATGTTGAAAGCATGCTTCAGAGCCTAGGGTCCTATTAATTATATGAATGGGATTAGGGCTAGGTATGGTTAACTAACTGCACCTTCTAGAGCTGCTGTCATCTACTGCTTGAGGCAATTAAGCTGAATATTGCATATCTGGCAAGGTGCATGATCTTGTGAGTACTGCAGCACGTGAGGAGGAGGGGGTATGCATATCCTGGGAGGGGGGTATGCATGTCCTATCCAGTTAGGGTCATAACCTTGTGATATCTCCATCATGTGGGGAGGAAGGGTTATGTACATAATATCTGGTTAGAGTCATGACCTGATGACATCACTGATTAAATAAATAGATAAGTCACTGTCAAATTTAGTATAGACTATTACTATTTGGGTCATCATTCTATCCACTGAAAGATTATAAAGAAATATTAGCTGGACTTCCAAAGGAGAAATGGCTGGTTGAATATGACTCCATTTTTGTGGAGCGGTATTTAGAGGAACTGGCAGTTTGACTGGATCTTCAGAATCATCTCCGGATGAAGGACATGACAGGATCACCCACAGGTACTCTGTAGAGAGGCTCCCTGTGAAGAGATTCAGTCTAGCACTCCCCCATGGGTGGAGAGCTCTGGGAGTTGAGGGAAACATTGAGCTGAAGCTTCAAAAGGATGCTAGATTTGTTTTCACTTCCTCTTTTAATTAACATTGGAAACTGCATAATCATGATTTACTTGGGAATTAAAAACTTCCTGAAAGGCAAGTTGCTGTACCTCAGAAGAATTTCCTTTTATCCTGGGAGAAGGAAGGTTAAGTTTAAAGATCAAAAATAAATATTTTAATTTTTGGAAATAGTGAAAGGGAATGAAGAATACTGATTGGGGGCAGTGAAAAGGCTAGATGGATTTGGAACAGTTTTTTAAAGGTTCATTTTAAATGTCTAAGAAAATACAGTAAGTGATTTTGCATTTAACTGCAAGAAAATCTGTCCTGGGAAAGTTTTGATTCTGAAAATAAACACAAGATAAGACTGAGCTTTGAAAGTTAACCAGAGGGAATCAGAGACCAATTAAATGAAAAGTTATCTTTTAATACAATGGAGTAATATCCTTCCTTCAAAGAAGAATTTTTAGATGTTTAGAATCAGTGTGTCCAGGAATTATTTCTAAAATTAAAACTAATAGTTGTTGTAGAAGGAGACAATATTTTATTGGATAAAATAGAAGTTGATGACAATTTGAATAAAGACTTTAAAATTGACTTTAAAGAAATGCCAGATTATAAGAGAGACATGGAAGATATGAAAAAAAGATGCTGTGCATCTGAAGATGGACTCAAAGTTGCTTGATTATGACAATGTTATGGAGAAAGAAGCTGTAGTGGAGCAGAAGAATTATTTTGCGAGTTATTCTGTTTTGGACCCACAGAAGGGAAACACCAAATCTCTGAAACCTTTTCTGAAAACAGACAAGGAGAGAATGATAAAAGATTATTATCTGGGGCTTTATTTGGAGAAAAGATTGAAGACTGAGCCTTTCAAAAAGAAGACAAAGAAATTCAAAGTGGATTTATCAGGTCAGGGTTAAATTGTACAAGTTTTGATTTTGGATTGTTAATACTGATTTTTTTTTCTGACCAGGACTGTAAAACGATGATTTTATACCTGTAAAATTTGGTTTATTTGGTTTATTTTAAAATAATATGTTATCATTATTAGTCTTTTGTATAATTAAGGGGAGAAATATTTTACGTTTTACTTTTTACAAAAAATGTAGAAGTTAAATGTAAAATAGACCTATTTGTTTAAGCTTAAAATTCATAGTTTATTATCACTGGCACTCTTAATGCTTTTGCTGATTAGATTGTTGATTTTTTTCTTTCATAATTTGATTATTGTTTAGGAATGAGAAAGGGGATGAAGAGGACTTTTTTTCTGTAATATGAGAGAAGGTGTTAAGTTACCAGTAATGGTTGAAATATATTTTCTTCAAGGCCATCTCAGTAGTCCTCTAGAGATCCCAGCAGATAAATTGGCAGGAATAGCACAGAATTGTAACAACCAGTTAGCAAAAGAGAGATCAAAGTTCAGTTTTGTTACTGGTCAAGAAGTTGAGAGTTGAAAACAATGAAAGTCAGAGCAGTGTTCACCTTATCACCAAACACAGATTACAGAGTCTGAGAACTAAATGAGGTAGTAAAACTCATTAGCTGGGTACTCATGTACATAAATGCCAGAAAGATCAATTCCCTGTAGCATTTGCCCTATGTGAAGCTGTAGTTGCATCCTTATAAATAATCTATAATGGTCTCAAAAATAGCAGAGAAAATACAAAGTCTGTGAAGCCCCTTGAAAAACTACTGTTCAAATGCTCTGGATTTGATTGGCTGCTACAAAGCAGAATTTTCACTCACATTTGTGAAAGTGGTTGGATGGGGGTGAATCAATGAAAGCTACTTTGCACAGAAACACCCCATCAAAGCATTGAGCAACCCTATAGTACAACACTCTATTTTGTTTCAGTGAAGTCCATGTTGGTAGAATCAGTAGATCTGCATATCCTTGAACTAATTATGCATGGACCAAATGGCAGCCAAAACTTTGCCAAAAGGAAACTACATGTCTCTTCTAATATAACTCTTTATTGAACTCTAGGCTTTATTCTCAGAAATTTCCTTCACATATTTTTCCTCCTAAATCACATGCAAAGGCAAAAAGGTTTGAAAGCACAATTCAGGTGTTCAGCTCTAAGACTGTTGCTGGTAGAGTAGACCAAATTAGTCCGTATGGCTCACAGAACAGACATGATTGAGATGATGTATCACTTCACTGCCACGTAATGGACCACATGGAATTATTAGAATAAAGAATGCTCTGTTCTTATTATGACCCAGAGTGAGATCCTTTGGCAACATTGCTTTGATCATTATTGCTGGTCTCTGTTTTAGTGAGGGATATTTTCCACTTTGAAGTGTTAAGTGTTCAAGCCATCATTATGGATGGCTGTTGTTTGGGAAAGAAGTATATTTGCTATTCTATCCTCCTTGGAGTGACCAGCCATATATAAACTATGATATTTACAACTAATACTATTAGGTTCCAGATTTACCTGCAAAAATTTAATCCACAACATAGGTCAATTCTATTTCTAAAGAACTGAACTACATATTGATTGTGATTTCATCTATCAAATTTTGATAATTAATATATACCAGATACTGATGAATTGGAGAAGAGGATACTATCTGTATATCCCAGTTAAACACTCTCTGAACACCTCCTAGAATGTGCCTTAGAGATTAGTGCTAAAATGGTACATCTACAGGTGCTCTTTAATGCATGTCTGTGTATGTGTGTGTGTGTTTGTGTTTGTGTAGATTCCTGATCCCTCCTTTCTATCACATTATATTTTCTTAATATGATTAATGGATGTTTTTCTGTCAGTTGGGGTCCTTCTAAATACACATGTGCCTTGACCCATTATTGGGTGAGAAAAGTGTATTTAGTGTTAACAGAGAAAATGGAATTTAAATATAGAGATTGTCTCCAACCTGTAATTACTCAAAGCACTGTAATTAATTCTATTTCTCTAAGCTTGCTAAACATCACCAAATCTGAAGATCTAGACATGACAGAATGCACAAGTATTTACAGCCTCAGTGCACAATGAGTTCACTCAAAGAAATCAGTGGATGCTTAAATTAGAAAACAGTGGAGAAATTTCAGAATAAGTTGGAAACTGGATTGTCCATAGATAACTGGGAGCTGACAACAATGGCACGACTGTTGCTTCCAATCCTGTTCTTGCCACAGACAGTATGTATGACTGAAATGGCAGAATGTAACAGAGATGATCCGATTCCCATTGTGTACAATTATTTTCAAGGCAGCGACTTTATGGTTGGTGGTATCACATCTCTTATCACCATTCCTACAACTCCTCCTACCTTTGGTGAAGATCCCCACCATTCATTTAATGATGAATTTCTGTGAGAATTCTTCTCTCTCTTCCCCCTTCCTTCCTTTTTAAATATCTTTATGCATGTGTGTCTCTGTGTGGGATTGCTCATACAGCTGATTATACTTATTTAACACTATTGTTGAAAGTAATTAATATTGAAATTCATGCACATAAAATAAAAGTGACATTATGCATCATTCGCTGCATATGATCTTGGAGGGAGCAATTAAAGTAATAGCTCACTAACCTATATTTAAAACTAAAAGAAATTGACCAGTTACAAAGTTATCAGAAAATATCTTTAAACTAGTTATATGATAAAAAGGAGTTTATGAGTTGTGTCAAAGCCACATGAGACTAGGATAATGTGCTTGTGTGTGGGCATCCCATTAAAGAATTACTCAGAGCATTAACCATTTAAAAGTTATTTTTAAAGTACCACAAGGCACCTTGCTTTTAGTCCACCAAATAGGAGCAATCTTCTAAGAAGGGGCAACAGTTGTAAGGAAAGCCAGTGATAGTTCTATTAAATATTAAACTTTTGTCTATCCAAAATAGCCCTCACATAAAATCATCTAAAGAATCTATAAATAAAATTCTGAAATAGTATTGATGGAGTGATATAA